TTATATTATTTTGAATATATATTTTATTTTAATATAATACTCGCAAGTGCTTACTCTTTTCTGTATGTGCCCTGTCCCCCCTATGTTGTGTTAAAGTCGTCGCGAGAGGCGACGCTCAGTCGCACATTATTAGCTTTTATTTTAACTATAAATTCTACGAAGAAACAAAAAAATGTTGTAAATACAGCTATAATTTATAGTTAAAATAATAGCTAATAATTTCTGACTGAGCGACGTCCGAGGTCGTCGCGATACTTGATCCCGGCGGTGTCTCGGAGAACGAGACCCGCGTACATCTCTTACAGGAAGTGTCGCCGAGGTTACCCGGGTAACACAGGCCCGGTCGAGATTGCGAATTCCGCCTCGTTCAATCCGCATCTGTGGCACCCCGTAACAACACTAATATGGTACATACATCCTCTGGCGCGAAGTATGATGGATCATTATTTTTTACTGCTATTAGAATAGTTTTTAAAAATTCTAAGGAGTGAGGAAAGAGGTTAAACATGATTAATATCAAGAGAACATGAGAATGATGCTTTCATTAAAAAAAAAATATTCGCAATTAGTATATTTACAGCTATGTCAATATACGTAATTTTTTTTATCACCTTGAAGTACAAAAAGTTATTTCTTTTATTTTAAAATGACAAAAATTGTATGTATTCGGCATTTTTTTTTAGTTATTGACTCAAATTACATCCTATTTGCTATATGACTCTTACGTGTATATGTATATACACCATCAAAAGAAGCTTAGTGTTTCGTAAGGTCTTCACTAAGTAATTCACCAGCCAAGCTCGGACCTACCGTTTGCCCGCTCACGTCGCCACCGTCGGCCCCATCGAGATGGTATCTATGGTCGGCCCACCTTCGGTACTTCGGCAACCGAGTTTGGACCTCCAGTCCGCCGAACTAGAATTTAAGATCGGGTATCTCTATGAGCTGCCCACTGGTGATCAAATTTTGGATACGATTCTCCTTCATTGTATCTCGTTAATTGGTTTGTGAGTAGGGGACCCAATGTTGATTGAATTTAATTCCTGAAGCGTTCATTGTTTCTATTTTCAAAAAACGATTCCCTGAGAATTGCAGTATTTGAGGAAACCCTAGAGATGACGATGTTATTTATTAGAACTTTAGATATAAATTCACACTGATAAATATGCGTTGGTGAGGCCCAAAAATCTGTTACTACCAAAAAATTATACAATATGATATTTACACTACATGATAACCCTAAGATTTAATCACTATTAAGTCACTCGTCATAGGTATAAATAATTTACAAGATTTTTAGAAATTCATTAAAATGTGTTATTTTTGTGGTAAACAGTTAATTAAAAAATGAAGGGGAATAAGCAATACTTTTTAGATTTTCATGATTACAAATATAAAATTTGAGCTCTGACTACTATTGTTAACATATAATTTGCCGTGGTGTTTTCTTGGCTGCTATAACTCAATTGTTTCTTATTAAATGGGATAACCATTTAACCAATAATTAAGCCACATCCTAATCTGAATTGATTTTTACAATGGTTTATCATTCCACTCAGTACAAATGTAAATGGTAGTGGCTGTAATCTCTTTTCCAATGTAGCGCCAACCAACCAGTTTGTGTCAATGCTCCCTGTAAGTAATGTGTCAAACATTTTGCAATACTTTTACAACATAGACAAAAAATAACTCCTAATAAAAACAGTATAAAAAAAAAATAACTACAAGTAATTCAAAGCAAACTAACCTTTGAAAGTCAAATCTGCTTTAGGTAGATCAACTTGATATGCAACAGTAGATTTGCACTCTTGCATCCTATGTATAAGTTCGAATTCTACTCCGAATTGCAATTGTTGACTAGCCCTTTGATAAAAACAAAGGTGAGCACCAGCAAAACCTGAAAACATACATTTTTTTTAATGCTGTCAAATTTTTTCCTATGGTATAATTTGGTGCAATACAATTCTAGTCACAGAAATATGACTTGTAAACCCAAACTTATAAATTCTTGATAATTTGTAAGCTCAAGTTATACTAAAGTAAAAATTAATTGACAAACAATACGAAGAAAAAGATTTTAACTTCCTTGATTCAAAAAAGTATTTTTGTTGCTGAACAAGGTAAACTTTGTTTTATTTTAAAATATGACCTATGTTTCCACTAATAGTGCTGTCTCCATTTGAGTAACGACCGGCAGCTGACAAGATTGTAATGTATCCTCCAGGAACTGTCGGTCCTTTTTGATAAGCTAATTCTCCACCCAAAGCTAAGTTAGATGTTACACTTTTGAGATAATGTAATACTAATAAACCTGATGGAGCAACAAAATTTGTAGGTATCAAATACATTTTGTAAACAACACAATCTTTACATTATACGTATAACTACCAGAATTATTGAGGATATCTAGATTTGCTGAAGTTGCAGAGAAAGAGTAAGTATCTCCACGATAATCTGTTGTCATCTGAAGGGCTGCTAATTTGTTTTTTTGAAATTGTGCAGCTACTTTTCCTCGAATTCTGTCTGTGAACTGATGAATAATGTTTGCATTGAGATTTCCACTTGGATCGACATCTCCTAGAAGAACTGGAAATGTTTCTGATGGTGATATTTGTTTTGTTCCTACATAAGTTGCCCCAAACCTAAAATAATCAATTTCATGAGATATTTCATGACTATTTTGTAAAGCATTGATTAGTACAAAGATGAGTCACCTGTAACCAGATGGCATCATAGAACTCATAACAATGGTGTGGGAGATTTGAAAATGACTACTAAGACCTTTGTTTAACATTAATTTACCTCCTTCAAAGTTCATTGGAAAAATGTCTGTGGATAAAAAACGGCATGACATGATAGAAAAAACCAAAAATAGAATAGAGGAAATTTTAAAGATCTTTTACAAATATGTGATTTCCTACTTGAGTGTCAAGACATCAATGAGATCAGTAATTGAAAATTCATCAGACTGACTAACTGAATTACATTAATTGTAAAAGTAAGATTTAATCAGTGCATTAATGCATGAAAATATTAAAAAGTTACTCAATTCTTTGGAGGGAAAACATATATTATTTGACCATGATCTTAGACTCCTGCTCAGTAATTATTTACAGCAGGCCAGGATATTACTAACAAATGTAGACGCTTATAGAAGCACAGCTAGCAAAGGATAGGTGTTTTAAACATAGGACGGGCAGCTTGTTACCCACAATCTTTCAATACAGAATTGAGCTACTTCAGGCGTCTGTTTGATTTATTACTGATAGAATGTAACTACAAAAACTCACCTTTGCATTTCTTATGTAGCTCCTCCATAGTGCCAGGACTCTCCAGCCTACTGCTCTCATTGTGGCTACTAATAGAGTTTTCTTTATCGAGGCTTGGCGGGGCTAGTGACGGTTGGGGGCTCAGTGGTGGCGAAGGTGGCACCGTCGAGGCTGTTACGTTGCCCATGACACGCTAACTCTTGTCTGGAGCTCTTTTTTGTGGGTAATAATCGACGACTGTTTCTAAGTCGTTAAGAGCCAGGTCTCGCGTACAAAAGAATGATAGACAACAAGGTGTTTTAAAACTGAGTGCACAATAGTAGGAAAGGGAAAAAACGAAGAGGGGATAAACTCGTGAAGTACGCTCTACTACGCACGCGATATATTTAAGGTTAGGCTGCAATCACACGTCTGCACTGCAGTGTGCAGTTATTCTTATGCATAGACAAAAAAAATAGATTCCTTGTTCTTATACGTACGGCGCTGAAGCTGAAGCACAAGTAGAAAGAGACACAATATCAAACGAGCATGGGTGTAATCCGCAATCGCCGCCAGCAGTTACATTTGTAAGACGTGACAACGTTGCGTGGTTGGGGGCGCTACTGTCGATTTACTGGTGATGTGATCCGCAATCCAGCCAGCAGTAAAACAGACGAAGTCAGTCTACTTCTTAGAGAATATATACATGCGGAGGAAGAATTGTATGCTCCGACCGCGAGACGAGATGAGAGAGACAAAAGACAAATAGCAGTACAACCTTTCTTTCTCTTACACGCCTCTGATTGGTTGGCCCCCTTCCGTATATATAGGTATAGTCGTATCCACAAGTGGCGGTCGTGGGGGAACAGAGCAGATATATGTAACCTAAGCTCTGATGAAAAAGAACTTATACATTACCAGAGAATATAGAATATATCCTCTTTAAGTATAGAAGGCCAAAGCGGAGTTCCGAGCAATACACACTAAAACAATAATCTTCCATTACATCTCAATTAAAACAACAAAATTGGAATAAAAATTTCCAATTTTAATTAAAGCCCTCATACCTGGTTAAACAGTTCATGTATGGCTAATGACTCAGTTAGAATGTTTGTCATCGATAGCTGAGCGGTCAAGAATGCTCGATTAGCTTTTGCGCTCTGGGCTTCGAATCTGACCTATGCTTTTTTTTTT